GGAGCCTCGAAACCTTAATGACTTGGAGAAGATCTGCAAAGAGGAGTGGGACAAAATCCCTCCTGAGATGTGTGCAAACCTGGTGGCCAACTACAAGAAACGTCTGACCTCTATGATTGCCAACAAGGGTTTTGCCACCAAGTACTAAGTCATGTTTTGCAGAGGGGTCAAATACTTATTTCCCTCATTAAAATGCAATTCAATTTATAACATTTTTGACATGCGTTTTTCTGGATTTTTTTGTTGTTATTCTGTCTCTCACTGTTCAAATAAACCTACCATTAAAATTATAGACTGATAATGTCTTTGTCAGTGGGGAAACGTACAAAATTAGCAGGGGATCAAATACTTTTTTTCCCTCACTGTATATAATACTGAGAAGAAACGAGAGCAACTTATAGATAAACTGACCTCTTAGCAGGCCTCTGGTTACAAATCATGCTGTATATTTTCCTGGTCCTTGCTTACTGTGGCACTTACTATAATTGCTCACCAGCTGTATGCCTCCTTTTCGGCCATCAATGTGCAATTTTATTTTTCGAAAAAAAAAAGGAAACTTAAGCACCGGTTTGAACTGCTTGCAGAGGTAATATATTATCTCAGGACATGTTGGTGCCTTAAATTTTACATATATGTGTCCTATTTACTGATAAGACTAACCTTTAATGAAGTAATGTTCATTTAACACTTAATACACTATGCAGTGATATTCATGAATGTGATTGCAATTAAACGCTATACATTTACTTGTAAAATAAAAAGTGCAACATTATCTGCATTGTCTAACCCTTTGAAGAGCTTGTTTAATTGATTGATATCAATACCTTCATTATAATTATCAATGTATCCTAAATACCGAAATTTAGCTTAAGTGTAACGTTTTTTTAAATATTTAATTTTCATAACTTCCTGGGAACACAAGTCAATTACAATATTTTAGATGATGATGATGAAATACATTATGCTGTTGAGCTACTAGGTGCTAGTTTGATCAAATTACATTTAATTTAAATTCATGAAAAAACATGTTTAATATATCTGTTGAGGTCTTATATAGTATTCTTGGTTCTTTCAGAAAAGTCACGTAGAAGGGAAACAATAAAATAATAAAAATATAAAACAATACAATTCTCACGACGTTTCGACTGCAACACAAGCAATCATCATCAGGTGTGAAAACCACAACAAGAAAATTATTGTTTTATATTTTAATTATTTTATTGTTTCCCTTCTACGTGACTTTACCGAAAGAACCAAGAATATGAATCTCTGCAGTCACGAAAGCTTTAAATCAAGTCTTATATAGTTTCAAGACTCGTTTCTGAGAGGGTTTATATATATTGTGATGTGAAGTCAGGGTGTGTGTGTGTGTATGTATGTTGTTGCAGAGAGCCCTTTTATGTGAAAGTGTGCCCATAAGTCAAAAAGCCATCTTCATTTAATGTCAGCTTTGCTTTTACACCCGGTCTTTTTCAAAAATTCCTTATCTGTCTTCATTTAGGCAAAGAGAAAGTGTACTCAAGTGGCCACAGTATCTGTGACTCATGCCAGGCATTGCAGTGCAAAGGTAGATGCCATTGAATGCCTCACTAAAGTTTTTCATCAAGCGTGGTATTGCCTTTTTATTGACAAGCTACTGCTGGATCAGTTTCACAATACTATTCAAGAAAAAATATACAAGTAATTGCAGAACTATAAAAAGACGTTTCACGACGTGAGGCGACACTGCATTTCAGTGTGATGTATGGCACCCTGAAATGTCATTGAGATATATTTTGGAATCATTGCAAGGTAGGCTTGTGAGTCCAAATTGTGCTGCTTTAAAATCGAATATCAGTCCTTGTGCTTTGTGGAGGCTGGATGATACCAGAGATATTGCCTTTCTTTAGAAGGGGACATTTAGCCCATAAGCATGCCTGCATTGGGATGCTAATGGTTCCATAGTTCATGACATTTCACAAGAGTATGCCAACGTGCTCTTGTTTTATGGTCAAATTAATCACACGTAATCGGCACTGTAATTTCCAGTTATCCTCATTTATTCCCTTCATGTTTGTGTCGCGATAGCCAAAACATTCATATATTTGAAGTAAATTACATAAATAAAAACCTTCACTCTAGTAGATGTATATATGGATGTAATTTGGATTAAAATAATAATTACAATAATTGGATTGGCCATGTGTGTAAAGCATAAATAACACGTGGTAGTGCATTGTTGATCATTTTCATTTAAGTTTTGCTTAATTGATTTGTTTAAGGATACAAAGAGGCCAAATGCAAACGATAAAAAATGAACTGGCATTGAATTTACAAAGCTTCTAAATGAAATCGTATCTCAGCAGAAGTCGATCAGTAAAGTGTGGATTAGGTTTGAGGTCAAAGTAAGTCTCGTCTTTGGCCTTGAAATAATGTGCAGGATCCAATTCTCAAATCACCCCGATGTATGTGTTTAAATAACGAAGGTATCACGATTTACATAATGGTAGTAGCTCTAAATATTTTATTGAGATTAATATTATGTAAAGGTTTGTATTTATTTGTGTAAATATAACTGAAGCATAATCTTGTTGTAGTTGAATACATTGAATCTTTGTTTATATGTATTTGTATTCAATAATATTGCCTTTAAGATTGAATCACTAACAGCCCCGTGCTAAGGTTTAAGCATGGCAGTCTTGCATTCCTCAACTCAAAAACAAGCACATTTTCCAGACACTTCTCGTCTGACACGTGGACCTATTATTGAGTGTGGTATTCATACTGAATCAAGATAAAACCATTCACTGGAATGACATTTTTCAATGCCCATCTTCCACTCAATTTTGTGCTTTCAGAGTGTGATGTGCACAATCAAGAGAAGTGTGCAGAACAATTTTTGAGAGACCTTTATTATAGACTGAGACCATGAAAATGGACAAACAAGGACATATGTCTGAACTCGAGTCAAAAGTCCATGTGTTTTATATTGTATTGTGGTTATGGCTAAAATTGTATTGGAAATTAGGCTTAGACTCTATGCAAGGCTTTGTATGTAATGCATCTCATTAGGCTTAGACTCTATGCAAACCTTTGTATGCAATGCATCTCAAAAAAGCATATAAAAAGTATATATCGTGGTTTAAATATCGGCATATCTCCATCAAGTTCAAGTTGTATTACACTCACAATCATGTAAATGTACGCATTTAATTAGTATTGTTATTTACATATTTACCTGGATAGTTCTTGAGATGGAACATTGTTTGCAAGGTTGTGCAGGGTGACAAGTGAAACAAAAACAGGACATTGCAAATGTGATTTAAAGTTCAGTGGCGCAGATTTTTCTAAAACGGTCATTGCCCTGCGGACACTGGTCCAATGAAAACAAATGTAAGCCTCTTGATGTCACCTCGTTCCCACACCTCCGTTTAGCACGGTTGGCTATGTACAGTGCGAAAGAAGTTCAACGTACATAGATGTCAGAGAAGCGATGCTAAATCACGTGTCTTTCTCATCCATCATGCCGATTATACCAACAATCTTAAATCTAAAGCAAAAGTTAAGTATCCCACTAAGCTATCTTCATCACAGCAAACAGCACACACTTTTTTTTGGTGGGATGCATTGCCGCAATGGCCATAACCAGTTGCGATTAGCAGGAATACCTTGCGTACTCTGCACACCAACATGTTAACGTTCTTTTTTTTGTCTCGCTTAAAATGAAAAATGTAAAGCCATTGGTGAGACACTAGCACATGCAGATATGAGTCTAACCCTGCTAGGTCAGGTGGCGCGAGGCTGCAGCCCCGATGTTCCTTTTGAAAATTTGATTCCGTCTTGAGTGGTGTGTGGAGGTCACCTTTATCCTTATTGAGGCCATTGAAGGTTTCTTTGTCTGCTGCCCATTGCTGTGAGGTTCTCTTTCCCAGGCCATGGCTACTCTGCTAGTGGGTACAAGCCAGACGGAGGGAGAGTCATATATCACAGAGCCATGTGTCACTCTGCCTGATTCCCAAGATGTTTTTTTTAGGGGGCACGTGAACAATTACCACGGGCGATTGAATTGTTTGTGAACAGGTCCATCTGGGTTACACTGATAACATTTTTCCCGAGTGCCCGCCGCCTTTGGTGGAAACGTGCAGTCCGCTACTGTTGTGACATAAATAATAGGACAGTCCTCAACGATGAAGCAGACCATCCGTTGGAGCTAGGTACAGCTTCTCATCTTGTTGAGGAGGGTCATGGGTTTATTCCAAACGCAACCCAAAGCAGTAGAGGAGGATGCGTGATGAATGCAGGGGGTGCATTGCATTCCTTTGTTGTAGTCCATTGTAATTGAGTGTGTATCTTTTCCAAGTATCTGTCCAAGTTGAGGCCATATGACTATTTAACAATGTGATCTATAATCTTAATGAGCTAGATAAATGCAACTCCTAGTGGCCTATGTCTGCACAAAACGACAATAACTGCTCACTGTGGGTTCAGTCTGGGTTGGTATCAGCTTGCATAGTGCACACCGTTGTGCCATCACTGGCCACTTAGCATTTCACTCACCACGATAGTGAACCTTATTCGTACACACAGAAATTGACAGCTCTGTCTTAGACATTGACATGTGTCCAAATCTGTAACATGCCTTTTAAATTATGTCTGAAGTGGTAGTGGTGGTGTTGTCAGTCACACTGTGATGTGGCTAACTTTATTTGGGGTTACAAAATGCCAGGGTTTTTGACAACAGGATATGAATTGTGCTGGCTTCACTGGCTACGGAATGTGCTGGATTAATTCCTGCTGCTTTTGCACGTGTAATATATTTGTGGCGTGTTCCCCACTGGAAAGTTCTATAAACAAGACACCAGCTTGAGAGACTTACACTACAAGAGCTCGTATGCTGACGTTTTGTGACATTCTCAATCCAGGTAGTTCATCTTCAGATGACACAATAAGCCACAGGCAGAACAGTGGGATTTGTCTAAAGGATGTTATTTCATAGTGATCTTCTTTTTCTGTCAATGCAGAACTGTCAAATGACAATGCACCCAGGAAAACATCAGACGTTTGCTGCCAGGGCTTGCATGCAGGTAAGCACATTGCAGAATTTATAGTGAAATATACTTTCATTTTTTAAGAACAGTTTTACCGTGCAAGTTTCTTGACCATTTGGAATAGGTGTATATAATTGCCTTTGCACGCCTATTTGAAGGTTGATCTTTATATTGATATGTGTCCTGCACCAAGGCCGTAGCCATGGAGTCAACATTGGGGGGACCAAATCTTCCAGGAGGTCTGGGGGTCCCCCCCCAGGAAAAAAAAAATCTAAATTTTTAAACGAATTTCCTGCCATTTCCTGCCTAAAATATTTCAAAAATCACTAACACATAGGATGGACCTTTTAATTATTATTTTTACAATAATGTCTAATAGTGTATTGTATTACATTGCTCTGTTTTTTTCTTTTTTACCTTTTCTTGTTTCATTGTATGTAATGGCAGAGATTAGGGATTAATAAAGTATAACCATAACCACAATAATATAAACATAAATCTATTTTATAGCAAGAAATTGGGGGGGGGGCATTTGAGCATATTTGAATATTGGGGGGGATGTGTGTCCCCCCAATATATATTATAATTACGGCCTTGTCCTGCACAGCTAAAACTCCAACCAAATGCACCAGTGTTTTATTTTTATTTTTAAATGTTGCTTGTAGGCATGGTTTGTTAAAATATACGAATATTTAATTTTAAAAAAATGTACATTGCATTAAGTTTGCTTCCATTTTGTGATGAGTATTGGTTGTTGTGTGGATATACTTTCCCCCACAACAGGAATGTGTATTTCTGCAACTGCCTCTGCACCACCAATGCAGATGAACATTCTCCCAAATCATGTTTGAGTGTGGAGATATTTTTACTTTTTTACGAATGTTTTATGTAAAAAATATATATATGGCATTGAGTATTACTGCCAAAATGACATTTTTCTTATTTCGCCTTAAGATTTTTCCACCTCCAAAAGCCCATATTCTTATCGCTTGGTTAAATAAACTACACCTAAATGTATATATTGCAGGAAGGTTTTTCATTGCCTGGCAGCAACGTGGCACCTGATCGAGTTGTTTGCTAACGACAGTCAAATGGTCACTTGAGCATCTTCAGAAACTCTTCGATCTTGAGATAATGGCTCAATGGAAAAGATTCCTCATCTGCCACCGGACGCAGTTTGCTTAATGTATCGTATCTACGTGTAACAGCCACCACAGGCCACTTATCTAGGTGTAGTGACAATAGAAGATTTGCACTCACATTCATGTGGTTTTTCACATCGCGGGAGTCGACATGCTGCAATGCGACTTGCCATCTGCCCCAGGGACTGCTTTGCACAACGCGTTATTGGGACTTTAGGACACAAAGCGAACATGTTCCATGGGGCAGATGGCTATTTAGCATGGTTGGCTACGTACGGTGCGAAAGAAGCTCAACTTACATACATACAGGATTGACGGCAGATGGAAGGAAATTAAAAGAGTTGTAAATTAATGCCACCTTGCCAAGAATTTGTTTAAAATTGTGTTTCTTCCCGATATAATAAATATGCCCTCGGCACCTTTCGCAGTGCAAGACTCGATTCCGTAACTAACAACAATGGCACCACCTGACGTGAAACAAAAAAAATGGAGCTGCATCTTTCACATTCCCTGGTGATGTCTATTCCTCAATTGCCTTGGCATCCTCCAGGCACTCTGTGAAAATGCGATGTTTAACTATCGCTCTCAGATGTGTGCTTATTCATTTCTCAACGCTGGATATGTCTGAATTGGGAATACGTGTTTCAACATGTACTTGTGTACAGTCATTGATCGTAGGTTCGACATACCGATCCCATTTACCACGTGTCATTATCCCAGGGCTGGAACTCAGGCTCTTTCATGGTTCTGGATTGTTACGGTTAGTCATTCTGTCAAAACACCTAACACGCATTTAATGTAAAATTAATAATTACAATATAAAATAATTGTATTCAGAGGTTCCATACATGCATATATACCGTATTCTCCAGATTATGTTACACGTTTCCCCCCTATATTTTCAAGAAGAAAATGGGGTCGCAAATCATAATCCAGTAGGTGTGTGTGTGTGACAACATTCGTATACCTTTATGGACACCGGGTGTAAGTTTGGGGTTCATATTCATTTCCGGAGCATTTAATAATATGGAGAATATGATTTACATCACTAATTCATGTTTACATAATACTTTCCTTTCAAGTGTGCATGCTTGTGTTTCTGTGAACTAAAATCGGGTCGAGACTGGTTCAATTCCTGGTTACCCTCAGCATTGGCAGGAATTAGAATGCAAACAGTTATTGTACGAGAAGATCTTCTTTGGTTCTTTCGGTAAAGTCATGTAGAATGAGAATAAAATAATAAATTGATAAAATAAAATAGCACAATAAATTGTCACAACGTTTTGGCCACAACACAAGCGGCCTTCATCAGGTGAAGGGACGAGACTGTCTGGAGGACAGCGCTAGAGCGAACACAGCTAAGCTCAGACCGCGACCTTTAAGCTGTGTGAGAAGAAACAGAGCGCCTTGACAAAGGAATTAGCATAGAATTTAGCATTGAAATAGCTGAGTGATTAGCTTGTGACTGGTCACAGAAATGGCTATGTTAAAGTCAAAGCATACACATTCACAGAGGCACATGGTACAAATCAAACAGGAGAATTTAGCATTGAAATAACTGAGGGATTAGCTTGTGACTGGTCATAGAAATAGCTATGTTAAAGTCAAAGCATACACATCTACAGAGGCACCTAGTACAAATCAAACAGGAGAATTTAGCATTGAAATAACTGAGTGATAAGATTGTGACTGGTCACAGAAATGGCTATGTTAAAGTCAAAGCCTACACATCTGAGCTATTAACAGTAACTGGGTATACACTACAATATATAATGAATACTACATAGTAAACCAATAAAAAACTAAAATACAAATTACCTCAATGTTATCAATAAACTCTATGTATTCTCCAATCAGCTAAGCTACCAACAATAAGTCGTTATATATCACAATGCTATATGGCGAAAAAATTGGGTGGATTCTTATCCTCAACTTTAGCACCACGGATAGCTACGAGCCCCGTTCAGACGGACGAGTTCATCCATGGTCGGAACGGAGGAGGGGGAAAGAGACAGATGCGAGGCGCTGTTAAACTCCATGTTGTAAACCACACCATTAGCCGTGGTGTGAGAGGTATTAAGAGTCAATGCCAGCGAAAGAGCTGTGGTCTGAAAGTCATCGTAAAATACAATTAATTAAGAAGGGAAATGGTTTAAAACATCTTTCCAATGGTTACTAAGCCAGAATCCATCTTCTCGGTTGAAATTGTCTCTGTGCTTGTATATGTGAATGGTCTCATGAACGAATCTCTCATGGTAGCCGGTTGGTTTGCAAAGAACCTCCGTCTTGGAGAAGTCAATGTCATGTGAGCCCACTGAATTATAACAGTGATCTGCCACGGCAGAGGAGTTCGTTCTACCATGTTTCAAGTCTGCTTCATGTTCGCAGATGCGGTCCGAGATATGTCGTTTGGTTTCTCCAATGTAGCTACTACCACAGAGGCACTTTAGTTTGTAAACGCCTGGGTACTGTATATCTGGAACAGCATATTTTACAGATGGAACCAGATCACGGATTTTATGTACTGTGTTGAATCGGACCTGGATCTTGTGTTTATTCAGGATTTTGGAGATATTTTTAGTGACCCCTGCAATGTAGGGTAAGGTGATGGTTTGGAGTGGCTCCACAAGAGGATCCTTCTTCATGACTGGAGTGATGGCTTTGCGGATTGTGTAGTTGGAGTAACCATTAGCCCTGAGAGCCTGGTGTACGTGCTTGAGTTCAGTGGTAATGTGTTCCTGGTCGGAAATGCATTGGGCTCTATGGTATAGAGTCTTGATGAGGGAGTTCTTCTGGGATGGATAGTGATGGGAATCCGGTTTCAAGTAAGCATCTGTATGGGTAGCTTTCCTGTAGACAGAGTGGCTCATTGAACCATCACGTCTCCTTTTAATTAAGACATCCAAAAAGGGTAGTTTGCCATCTTTTTCGACCTCCATGGTAAATCTGATGGCTGGGTGTATGGAATTGATGTGGTCACGGAATTGGTCTAGAGCAGGCTGGCCATGTGGCCAGATGACAAAAGTGTCATCCACGTACCTCTTCCATAAGGTTGGGCGTAGAGTGGCAGTCTGGATGGCGTCAGTTTCAAATTTTTCCATGAATACGTTGGCTACAACCGGAGATAGGGGGGAGCTCATTGGGGTGCCCTCAGTTTGTTTGTAGAAAGTTCCATTCCAGGTGAAGTATGTGTTGGTTAAGCAATATCTCACCAGGGGGGGTACATCAGTATGCAGTCCTTGATGAACCATTGGAAAGATGTTTTAAACCATTTCCGTTCTTAATTAATTGTATTTTACGATGACCTTCAGACCGTAGCTCTTTCGCTGGCATTGACTCTTAATACCTCTCACACCACGGTTAATGGTATGGTTTACAACATGGAGTATAACAGCGCCTCGCAGCTGTCTCTCTCCCCCTCCTCCGTTCCGACCATGGATGAACTCGTCCGTCTGAACGGGGCTCGTAGCTATCCGTGGTGCTAAAGTTGAGGGTAAGAATCCACCCATTTTTTCGCCATATAGCATTGTGATATATAACGACTTATTGTTGGTAGCTTAGCTGATTGGAGAATATATAGAGTTTATTGATAACATTGAGGTAATTTATATTTTAGATTTGTATTGGTTTACTATATAGTATTCATTATATAGTGTAGTGTATACCCAGTTACTGTTAATAGCTCAGATGTGTAGGCTTTGACTTTAACACAGCCATTTCTGTGACTAGTCAATCTAATCACTCAGTTATTTCAATGCTAAATTCTCCTGTTTGATTTGTACTAGGTGCCTCTGTAGATGTGTAGGCTTTGACTTTAACATAGCCATTTCTGTGACCAGTCACAAGCTAATCACTCAGCTATTTCAATGCTAAATTCTCCTGTTTGATTTGTACTAGGTGCCTCTGTAGATGTGTAGGCTTTGACTTTAACATAACTATTTCTATGACCAGTCACAAGCTAATCCCTCAGTTATTTCAATGCTAAATTCTCCTGTTTGATTTGTACTAGGTGCCTCTGTGAATGTGTATGCGTTGACTTTAACATAGCCATTTCTGTGACCAGTCACAAGCTAATCACTCAGCTATTTCAATGCTAAA